TGATGTACTTAAAAATTGAGAGTGCAGACTTACGTGTATGCATAATACCGCCAAAACCGTCAAAATCGCTCCGAATCGCTTTGAACTGTGCAAAATTTCAACTTTGGCAGGCGGGTTGGGCGGGTGGGAGGCCCAGTGTTGGTAGGTCGGCGGGGTGGCGGGAAAATTTCCCAACCCAAGGTCTAACCGACACGACCCGCTTGTGTTTCAAAAAACAAAAAAATAATTCACCTGTTATGCTCTCTCTCTCTCTCTCTCTCACTCACACACACACACACACACACACACAATAATTCCTTAATTAAACCTAATAACCACACATTCCAATTTCATCTCATTCAGACGACTGATTTCCCTGACTATGCTATTTTTAAAACTTTAGTCCCACTTTAGGGTGTGTTTTTAATTTTATTCCCATAGTAGGGTAAAACGGCTTTAGTAATGCTGTTTTCTAGAAAACGACTTTTCAAAAATCGTGTTTGCGATTAAAATAATAATAAACTTTGAACACAGAAAATGGCTTTAGAAAAGCCAGTTTTAATTAATTTTTAATTAATTCTGAATTAATTAAAAACGGTTTTGATAAAACCGTTTTTACACTAATTTTTTTTTAAATTTATATTTTCAACATAAATATTTTTAACACAAAAACGGTTTTAGAAAAACCGTTTTCACAAATTTATTTTATTTATTTATTTATTTTCCCTGTTTGTTCCCATGGAGGAAGGTTGGACTTGGGAATCAAAAGAAGAGTGAGACAGAACAGCAATTCCAATGCATTCAAAAGATGGGTTTCTTTAGAAAATCACAACACAAATGAAAAAAAATAATCCATATAATACTCCAAGAAAGACCTAGGGCTTGTGTGGTTTTTATTTTAAGATATAATTTTTAGAAATTTTTTTAAAATTTTGTTTGATTCAAATTTTTTGAATTTTTTTTTCAAAATCACTTTATCTCTCTTACATATCAATTAATCATTTTGAAAAGAGTTTCGAGTTTTGAAAAGAGTCCCAAATCGTAACCAAACACATAATTCAAAACTTAATTTAAAAGTTATTTTCAAAACTCATAACCAAACACATAACTCGAAACTCCACACTACTTTCAAAACTCTACACTCAAATCATAACCAAACACATAACAAAAAAAATTAAAATATTTAAAAATATTTTTATAAAATAAAATAAAATATTTAAAATAAAAAATAAATAAATTTTGAAAATAAAAATTATATATTTAAAATAAAAAATACATTTTTTTTAACTTTAATATTTTAAAAAATACATAACAAAAATGTATGAAATATAGTGCACATTAAAATAAATAAATAAATATTTAAAACATAAAATATTTATCCTAAAATATTTATTCTCACTCTAGGGTGGGTTTTGAAAAGACTTTGAAATTTTGGAAATTTTTGAAAAGTGATTTTGGAATTTTTTTTTCAAAAAATTTGAACTAAACAAAATTTTAAAAAAATTTCTCAAAAATTATATCTTGAGATACAAACCAAACAAGCCCTGAGTCTTTGTTGGAGTATTATGTGTGTTTGGTTTGAGTTTTTTGAATTAAGTTTTTTGAAAACTGAGTTTTTTGTTTTTAGTGAATATTTTTAAAATTTTAAGCATTTTTTTAAAACTTTTTTTGATGCATTTTACTTAGATGTGTCTAAAAAGTAAAATATTTGTGAAAAAATATTTTAAAAAATTAATAAATACACAAAAATATGAAAAATGTACTGAATTTTCATTTTTTTTTTGTTTTGTATTTTTGGTATTTAGTGTATTTATGCTAGGTGTGTTTAAAAACTTAAACTATTAAAAAATTCAACAAAAACAAAAAAAAATACGAAAAATAAGAAAGTAGAATTTTCTAAAAAGTGTTTTAGAAAACTCAAACCAAGCATTACGTTTTTATTTTTATTTTTATTTGTGCTGTAATTTTCTAAAGAAACCCATCCTTGAATGCATTGGAATTGCTGCTCTTTTACTCATCTTTTGATTCCCAAGTCCAACCTTCCCACATGAGAAAAAATAATTAAGAAAAATAATTTGTGAAAACGGTTTTTGTAAATCCGTTTTGTAAAACGAATTTCCTAAAACCCTTTTTTATTAAAAATATTTTTGGTCAAAAAATAATTATGTTGAAAATATAAATTAAAAAAAATTAATGTAAAAACGATTTTACCAAAGCCGTTTTTAATTAATTCAGAATTAATTAAAACTGGCTTTTCTAAAGACATTTTCTGTGTTCAAAGTTTATTATTATTTTAATCACAAAACATGATTTTTGAAAAGTCGTTTTCCTAGAAAACAACATTACTAAAGCCGTTTTACCCTACTATGAAAATAAAGTTAAAAACACACCCTAAAGTGGAACTAAAGTTTTAAAAATAGCGTAGTCAGGGAAATCAACCCATTCGCACACATGCATTGCTCACAATAATTCCTCAATTAAACCTAATAACTACACATTCCAATTTCATCTCATTCACACACACGCATAGCCGCTGCTGTGCACAGCATTGCATCGACTCACCGCTGATCAGCTCATCGCTGTTCGCCTATCCTCACCACCGCCGCTGGTTTCTCCTTCCCTTGCCAATCGGTTCACCGCTGTTAGCCTCTTCTCGTCGTCGTCGACTCGTCGGTACTCTCGCTGCTCTCTCTCGCTCTCTCGCTCTCTTTGTCTCTCTTTTCTTTCACTGCTTTCTCTCTGTTCTATATACATACATATATCCCTGCTCTCTCTCTATATATATAACATCAGTGATGCTATTTCATAAAGAGGTTATAATAATGCAAGGTTGTAAATCTTTAGTAGTCATAGACCGTGGCCAATTCATTATCTATGATTTCTTTGAATTCCCTCTTTACTAATTTCTTTTGTGAAAGACGAGATTTTGTGCTTAGAAGTTCGTATTCCGGACAACCTCACAAATCATTTTTTGTTTTTTTCCCTTTGAATTACAATGCTCAATATTTTCTCATTGGTTCAGAAAGCAGCATGATAATTTTCATTTTTGGTAATCAGTTTTTGTTCAAATATGAGATGGGTAATTGATATTCTGTTCCGACTTCTGTTGTTTCCCCTTGAACATCAGTAAAGACTAGAGGTGGGCGCGGGTCGGTTGCGGCCACGGAACCTTCAATCTGCCATCCATCCACCAGATTGGTGGATTGGAGAAAATCAATCTGCATCCGTCCGCCAATCTGGCGGATATGGATTGAGCGGATTGGCGGTTTGGCGGATGGATGCGAATCGGTTTGGCGGTTTAAAATTTTATAAATTTTCAACATAATTCAACTTATGCATTTCCTCAAAAAAAGAATAAGAAGAAAGTATTACAGTTAATGACTTAAAAAAATATTACAATCACTGTATGCCTTATCTACATAAAGTATTACAATCTGTGGTTCTTAAAATATAAAAACAATTCAAACTACCAAAACCATGAACAGAACAGTAGTAGAGATTATATGTCTTTGTATTAATATCTATATCTGTTTTTGAAAATAAAAAACAACCAGCATATATCATATTTTCTATTTATTATTTTTAGAGATAGATAAATAATACGTTTATTTTTTCAATTCAAAAAAGATATTCAAGTTGAAAACTTTTTTTCAACAGAATATTTAAACTCTTTTTTAATTGAAACACACAAACATAATATTTAAAAAAATTAAAAACACAAAGTCTTATAAATTATTAGGGTGTTGGCAGTTTGGCGGTTCGGTTGCGTCAAAGGAATCTCAAATCCGCCATCCGTCCGCCAGATTGGCGGATTGGAGAAAATCAATCCGCAACTGTCCGCTCGTCATCACGCATCCGTCCAAAATGCGGCGGATCGGTTTGGTTTGGTCGATTTTAGCGGATTGATATATCCACTGCTCACCCCTAGTAAAGACAATACAGAATGTGCTCTCTCTCTCTTTTGTTTATAATTTTTATTTATATATACTTATTATTATCATTGATAATTTTTGTTTATTTACTTATCATTCATATAAATTTCGTTTAATTTATAAATTAAATCTTTTTACTTTTGATTAAAGTTTTGTAATTTTAATTATATTTTTTATAAACCGCCAATCAGCCTGAACCGTTAAGGCAAATCCGTTATTATTTGCCAACCGAACCGCTGATTTTTGATAAGAAAAATTGCAAATTATAATAAAATTTTTATCAATCCACCACCCGTCATACGATTTCTATTTTTCTTCTAAATTGCGCTGACCTATACCACGTACACCCCTAGTCCTAATAAGTGGATTTATTGTCTAATAGGTCCTATGATAATTAATGACATTTTTTTATTAAACACTATTAAAAAACGTCACTAATTGTTAATTTTTAGTGACAACATGAAAATTTTATCACAGAAAATGTAATTAATTATAAGTTTTAGCGACAGTTTAAAAAAATTGCCACAAAAAATTGTCACTAATTCACAACTTTTAGCGACAAGTAAAAAAATTAGTCATAGAAAACGTTACTAATTGTAAGCTTTAGCTACAATTTATAAAAATGACAAAAAAAGTCATTAATTGTTAATTTTTAGCGACATATATAAAAAATCGTTACAAAAAATTATTTTTAGCGATAATTTTATCAAGACTTATTTTCAATAGGACTTGATAAGAATTAAATCCAATTATTAGGATCTATTGGTAGTTTATCCATGATTTTTTGATTTTTTTTGGGTGTAAAGTAGAGGTGATTATTCAGTACTCCCGGAGTATGGACACGTGGTGCTCCATAATGTTTTGATTGGTGGAGAGACACAAGGGCCCACGATTTATGTTGGAGATGGGGGGACAACATGGAACTAACTGATTAGTGATTGGTTTGGAGTATGGACACGTGGTGCTCCGGGAGTATTGAATAATTTCCCGTAAAGTTGAATCCCCCAAAATTAACAATGAATCCTGATTGAATAATTCGACTTTCTATAGCAGGCCAAACAAACACAAACCCGAATTATTTTCACCGGGTTATTTCTGATCTAACCCGCACCGAGAAAGAGTCAAGAAAAAGAAGGAATCTGGGTTGTGCTGTGGAGAAGAACTCTGCGTAGAGAGATCGTTCAATGTTGTCGTGACTCGTGAGAGTCGTTGAGGTTACATTACATAGAAGTTGATCGATCAAGAAAGGCGATCGTAGTTAGATCATTGTTTTCTCTTCTCTGATCCATCACTTTTTGATTCTCTTTTGAAAAAACAAATTTTGGAGTTTCCAAAGGGGCTATTATATAGAGATACAGTAATGGAGGAGGAACAACAGAAGCAGAAGAAGAATGAGAGGAACAAGTACAGCATAATCGTCCCAACTTATAATGAGCGCCTCAACATTGCCCTCATTGTCTATCTCATCTTTAAGCACATCCTGTACTCTCTCTCTCTCTCTCTATATATATATATATGTGTGTGTGTGTATGTATATATCTCTGTCTCTTTCATTTTGTGATTGCACTATATTATTGATAACTCTTTGTTGATTGGGGAAATTGAAAATCAGTGAGAAGACCAAAAAAAATTGCAAAATTATGAAAAAGTTTCACTTTAATTATTAAAGTGGGTAAGTTTACCACTGAAATGCAATTTGTTTTTTTTCATACACTGAAATGCAATTTGCCCTTGTTGATTTCTGCTGTTGGGCTAGTTTTTGCTTTTGGGATCTCAAAATTTGGTCACTTTAATTGCCAATTCTTAGGTGTTAGAGTTTCTCTGGTTTGTGAATGATAAGAAATTCACCATGAATTGCCTGTTATGTGCTGAAAAGGGTTTTCATTAATATTTTGGTTTTGAATGGGAACTGAGGCCTGAAATATGATGGGTTGCATTTCATAGGGCTGGGGCAAACATCCAGCTGAACCACCCAACCCGACCTCAAATGGGTGGTTCCAATGCAACGGGTGGATGGATGCAGGTGTAGCAATTTGAAAAAAAGTCGTGGTTCGGTTGGGTAACAGATATAAAAGTTTTAATCTGCGAAATCTAACCCAATAATTAGCAATTGGTCATAAATATTGATATGTGTATATATTATTTATTTGTTTAATAAAATAAGTATTAAAATCTAAAAGTGATGCTTTCACTTTTCAGAATAGCAAAACCCTCACTCCTCCTTGTTCGGACTAGGGTTCTCTATCATAATCACCCTTGCAATAATCTTGCAATGGTAGTTTAGGTAACTAGTTTAAGCCTAAAACATAAATAGTGGTAGTGTAAGTAATGCTTTAAGCCCAAAACACATTCATCCTTGCAATAATCTTGAATTATTGCAAGAAAAGTATTGCAAAGAATCCTATTCTAGTTAAAAAGTTTGTTTGTTTGTTTGTTTTTTTCGTGTGTGTGGGTAAAATAAGATTTGTTCAGTAAAAATGTAGATTTTATTTTTTTGGTAAAATTAGGATTTGTTCAATTTGCCAACCTAATTCGCATTTACCTTTCAATCCACCCAACCCACTCAATCGATTTTGAAACCATGGGTGGTTGGTTGCAGATGGAATTTTCTTAACCCAAACCCCATTCGATCGGGTGACGGATGACATGCAACCGTTCGATTTCGACCCGCAAGCACCCCTTGCATTTTGCAACCAAACTAAACTGTGTCCGAATTAAGTGGGTTGGTTGCATGAACACTTTTTTTCCATTGCTCCGCTTAATTAAATTAAGGTAGTGTTTCGTTCATTTGAACGTGGAATGAAATGATCATTCCATAATGTCCATTCTCATGTTTGGTTCACTAAACAAATAATGAAAAATACATTGCAAATGAAATCATCATTCACCGGGAATGGCCATTCTGTAAGGAGACTATGAAATGAGCATTCCATTCCACTCTTATTTTATTAAACCAAACATAGCATGAATGAGTTCATATAATTTTTGCTGCAACATCCCATGTCAATTTAAGGCTTTACCTTCCCTAACATTTCAATTCATATTACTTTTCCTAATTGTTGCATCTATAGATTATAGATTTTCGCTGTATAGCATTTCAAATTGATGTAATCGGTGTAAGTTTTTTCATTTTCCAGGCTTGGGATTGGTTGATTGTCATAATGTCGATTTTGGCGAGGGTTCGACCATAAAGAAGATCATTAACAATATGAATGAATAGTTTTTTGAACCTGGCTTGAATTTGGAAGAATTGGATTAAAAAAGAATGGTAACTATTGTGGAAGATGATGCTAGCACTATGTGGAACTCGATGGCCAATTTTATGAGGAAAATCTCAAGAGAAGTGCTTGGAGAGTCTAAAGGAACGGGACCCAGCTCTAAGGAAACTTGGTGGTGGAGGGAAGAGGTTCAAGCGATAGTTAAGGCAAAAAAAGAGTGCTTTAAAAAGTGGCAGAATGATAGAACTGAGGAAAACCTTAAGAGCTATAGATTGGCTAATAAGAAGGTCAAGAAAGTAGTGAGAGAGGCTAAGTTGAAAGCTTATGATGACCTATACACTAGGTTAGATAGTAAGGAAGGAGATAAGAGGGTATACAAACTTACTAAGATACGGGAGAGGAAAACAAGATATTTTTAATCAAGTTAAGTGCATCAAGAGTGAGGATTTCAAGGTATTGGTGAAGGATGAAGAGATTAAGGAAAGATGGAAGAACTATTTTGAGAAACTATTAAATGAGGAACATAGAGGTATGACAATAGAGAAAGAAATATCTAGTAATACGATAAACCAAGACTATAGGTTCTATCGCAGGATTAGGAACTTTGAAGTGGAGATTGTACTTAAGAAGATGAAATCAAATAGGGCTTTAGGACCCAATGATATCTCTATTGAAGCTTGGAAGTGTTTGGGTAAAAAGGGGGTTGCTTGGTTGACTAGGTTGTTTAGCAAAATTTTGTTGACTAGGAACATGCCAGATGAGTGAAGAAAGAGTATTTTAGTGTCAATCTATAAGAATAAAGGAGATGTTCAGAATTGTAACAACTATAGAGGAATTAAGCTAATGTGTCATATAATCAAAGTGTGAGAGAGGGTGATGGAACGCCGATTGCGTGATATAACAGAGGTGTCAGAGAATCAATTTGGGTTTATGCCTGGTAGGTCAACAATGGAAGCGATCTATCTTTTGAGGAGAGTAATAGAAAAGTATAGAGAAAAGAAAAGAGACATTTATATGGTGTTTATCGACCTTGAGAAAGCATATGATAGAGTGTTCCGAGATATAATATGGTGGGTGTTAGAGAAGAAAGGGGTGACAAAAGGTTACATTGATGTGATTAGGGACATGTATGAAGGGGTGGTGGCCACTATTAGATCGCCTGCTGGAGAGACAAATGAATTTCCCATCACTGTAGGGTTACACCAAGGATCTACCTTAAGTCCTTATCTTTTTACTTTAGTTATGGATGAGTTGACGAGAAATATTCAGGATGACGTGCCATGGTGTATGCTTTTTGCAGACGATATCGTGCTAGTAGATAAGACTAGAGAAGGAGTAAACACAAAGTTGGAGATTTGGAGAAAAACTCTTAAATCTAAAGGATTTCGGATAAGCAGAACTAAGACAGAGTACATGGAGTGTAAATTTAGTACCAATAATAATGAAAACAGAGGAGAAGTGAAGATTGAGAACCAAGAACTGCATAAGAGTGAACATTTTCGTTATTTAGGGTCGATTATTACAACAGCGAGGGAGATTGTTGCAGATGTGACCCATAGGATTGAGGCGGGATGGTGAAGTACGTTTGGGGTACTGTGCGATAAACGAATACCTACTAGACTAAAAGGTAAGTTCTATAGAACGGCTATTAGACTAGCGATGTTGTATGGGATGGAGTGTTGGGCAACCAAGAAACAACATATAGATAAGATGAGTGTAGCTGAGATGAGGATGTTAAGGTGGATGTGTGGCAAGACTAGATAAGACAATATAGAATTAAGAATGAGTGTATTCGGGAATGGGTAGGAGTAGCACCGATAGAAGATAAGTTGAGAGAGAATCGATTGAGATGGTTTGGTCATATTCAACGGAGACCAACAGAGGCAGTAGTGAAGAGATGTGATGCTATAACGGTAGATAGAAGTGTTAGGAGACATGGTAGACCTAGATTAATGTTATCTAGCGTTGTAAATAGAGATATGGATCTACTTAATTTGACTAACGAAATGGCCTTTGATAGGGCCGCATGGAAAAGAAGGATTCATGTAGCCGACCCCATTTGATGGGACTTAAGGCTTGGTTTGGTTTGGTTTGATAACTATTTTGGAAGCGGGACGGGTGGTTGGTGTTTTTATGGGTGTGGTCATTCCAGGGGTTTGGGTTTTAAAATGATTATGGGTATGCCTGATTTGGTCTGGAGTGGTTTTAGAATTTCCTTTTGGCAAGACATTTTGGTGTAGGCATGCTTTTCTAAAGTTCTTTTAATACATATTTAAGGTACCCGTGAATGATAGTGGTATAGTGATTGATAATCATGGGCTGTACCCAAGAATGACGAGGAGCTTTTTTTGTCTCTAATTATCATGTATGTTATCTTCAGGATATATCACATATGTTGAGTACTATGTGTATATATAATGAAGTTTAATGTGGGAGCGTGGAATGAAAACAACAATGGATCTTTTTGAACTCTTTCTTTGAGATGTTATAGGTAGAAGAGAAGTCCTGTTTCTTGGCAAAAGCTATTTGGACTTCTCAACAACTCCTTTTTTGATGGCTTTGTCTTTGTAGGCTATGTTACGTGGACTTGGGTATGAGTGTTTGGTGTGGATGTGTCTGAGTGTCGGATCCATTTAACTCTCATGGCCAAAAATATGAGGATATAACAACTACATATTTTTTTAAATACTTCTTTCATTATTTTGGATAAAATAGTGATTACAAACTAACATAGAGCTTTTCATGCATTGATGTAAGATAATTTCATAGTGAACTCAACTGGTTAAACATATTTTTTGGGTACATGTCCAAGTAGACATGTTGGACATACACATACCGTAACTTTTGTGTCTCTAGTGTTTGCATGGGTACATCACAAACTTAGAAGAGTCTATGTATATGGTGCATGGGTAGCAGCAAGAGGTGAGATTATTATTGTTGATCACTTAATTAATTGGGGTTAGAAATTTATAGCCATTGCATGTGCAAAATGATTCAAAATTGTCATCCACTTCTTTTGCATGTATTTGGCCTGATTCCTTTAGTTTTCACTATTGGTTATAAGTGAAGTGAGTTGGGTTATGCCTTGTTTTGTGGTTGGTTTATTGGAGGATACAGAATTCAAGGTTCATCTGGATGAACTTTGCTAGTCTTGAAAGCACCTCGACCTTTTAGTTTGTTCATTCAAGAAGAGCGGAATATACATACTAGTTAAGATGTGGAGTTCCTGCAGATAAACTTCAGGAAAAAGAGTTATATTTAAGG